ATAAGTTTTAATTATTGTAATAAATAAATTTGTAAATAAATAAAATAAAACAATTAAATTTGACCAAAAGAAATAATTGGTTTTCTTTTTTACTTTATTAAAATTTACAATATTATATGTATTTATCTATAAATAATATGTGAAAATTATACTCTTTTCTATTAGATTTAATTATCTTATTTTCTAAATAATAGTGATTTAATTTAATTATTTTATTTTTTATTTTTATAATATGTTAAATATTAATATTTTATTTTTATCCCAAAAAGATAGATACGCTTTAAATTTCTTTCTCTTAATTACAAGTGTGACAGTAAAAAAAAAAAATTAATTATTATAATAAATAAATTTTTTTAACAAATATTAATAAATAAAGTTGGAGATCTAAATTGAAAACATGAGCAGAAAAGTTGTAGTATAAAAATAAAATTTTCCCCCGTGGATAAATACAAAAGTTGACGTGGCAGATAGATACTCCAAAAGTGTCTGTATCCTTACTCAACGAACAGATGTGGCCAGCGGATCCCACCGGATGTTATGCGCCACCGCCTCTATAAGAGTCCAAAATTAAAATTGAAGCTGAGGAGAAGTGAAGAACGGAGACGGAAGCTGCATCCGGCGACATGGATCAGGGCTCCGTAACGATCGAACACAAGGCCTATGCTCGCGTGGGTCTGCTCGGAAATCCCAGTGACGTCTACTATGGCCGCACCATCTCCTTCAGTCTCGGCAATTTCTGGGCATCCGTTAAGCTCGAGCCCTCGGAACATCTCATCATCAACCCCCATCCCGTCCACGATCTCGTCCAGTTCCAATCCCTAGACCATCTGGTTCGATCTCTTTCTCTTACAATCAGCAATGTGTGTACATTGATGCTCTGATCTGCTTCTATGTTCTCTTTTTATGTTTGTGGGTTAGATTGAATTGAATCTGCAGATTCTGGTGGTAACAACATTCTTTCAGATTCTGTTTTTGATGCCCAAAATAAGTTAGGTTGGAAATTAATCGAATATTTGTTAATAAGACCAATTACTTTGTCTTTATTGACGTGAATTTCAACCGTGGTGGAAATATTTTAGATAAAGGTGGCTCTTTTGAATTCATTCTCTAGAAAATATTTTATGGGGTTGATTAGGCTATAATTCTTTATGGTTGATTGTTTACTTTTCTTAGCTTTTCAACGGCAAGAATGAATTGTTGGGTCATTTATTTCATTGCACCTTGAATGCCAGAGTGGTTGAATTGTACATTGCTTTATTGCTTGCAGGTGAATCGGTTACAAAATGAAGGTTATTATGGGGGTGTGCGATTGCTAATGTCAATTTGTAAAGTTTTCCATAACTATAGTAAACTTAACAACATTGAGCTTCACCCGGGAAATTTCACTTTATCATATGAGACAAATATCCCTCGCCAGGTATTACTTCAGAGTACGGACTGCTTATAAAAGAACCTTTGTGATCATTGTTTTAGCTAATATCTGTATGCATTGTGTGATAAGAAATGCCATGGTGGAGGCCAAAAAGAGAATTTTTATGTTTGTTGGCACTTGGCACTTGGCCCCAGATAAGGTTGTAAATTTGAGATTAATACCCATGATCATACAAGGAATTCGACTCCTAATGTCTAATCTTGGAGCCACTCCACTGACATGGGAAACTGTATTTCAAGTGTGAGTAAATTAGTGCTATATCTTTGATTTTTATTATAGTGAATTATGTTGTCATCTGTATACTTTTTCTGGTTTGGAATGTGTGCTTTGGTATGCTTTTGTGCAAGGACTGTTTACAGGGAGGAGAAAATTACTAGCTAGTTTTAAGTGTTTCCCCTACACCGCCTGAAAATGGAGTTGTTCTTTTTTCCCATCTTTTCTTTGCGTTACTTTTTAGCAACATATGGCTTATATAATCTGGATATTTCAGACAGGACTTTCAGGATCTAGTGCTATTGTGTGTGCTGCCCTTAGCTGCCTTCTTGACTTCTACAAAGTCAGGCATTTAGTCAAAGTAGAAGTCAGGCCTAGCCTTATCCTAAGTGCAGAGCAGGAACTTGGGATTGTTGCTGGCCTTCAGGACAGGGTAGCGCAGGTCTATGGAGGCCTTGTGTACATGGTAGGTGATCTTAATGCAGACATAAAAATCAAATTGATATAGTTTTGTGATTTATGTAAAACAAAACTATCCTTCTACAGGATTTTAGCAAGGAAAACATGGATAATTTGGGACATGGTATCTACACACCAATGGATATCAGTCTTCTTCCACCCCTTCATCTCATTTATGCTGAGAATCCAAGTGATTCTGGGAAGGTTAGCATTACATCACAACTTCTTTGTCCCATACTTACAAAAATTTAAATGTCAGTCTAAAAGGTTATGGCTTCCTGTAACCCAAATTGATGACTTGGTGGATTACCTTTGAAAATCTCCCCTTTTTTTTTTTTTTTTTTTTTTTTGGTGGTATTTATACAAATTTCTAATATGCCAATTACAAAACCAATTGGAATGTATTTGTTAACTTATTAGTATCAATTGCAGCTACATAGCACAGTTCGACAGAGGTGGCTTAATGGTGATGAGTTCATTATATCATCAATGCAAGAAGTTGCAACTGTCGCAGAAGAAGGAAGGACTGCAATACTTGCAAAAAACTATCAAAAGCTAGCTGAACTTATGAATCACAATTTTGACCTCCGAAGGCAAGATTTGTCCAACTGCTTGCTTATCTCAATTCATATTTTTATATCATAATATCATTTTGGCCAACCATCTTCTTCAACTTTATGTTTATATCAAATAAGCAAAGCAAGAGGAAATGCTAGGATGCTACTAACTCGAGTTATATGTTACTTTTTGAATGCTATGCTGTGAATTTTACGCAGGCGCATGTTTGGAGATGAATGCTTGGGTGCTTTAAATATAGAAATGGTTGAAGTGGCTCGAAGGGTGGGCGCTGCATCAAAATTTACAGGTAGTGGAGGAGCTGTGGTTGCCTTTTGCCCTGATGGGCCTTCTCAAGTAAAGCTTCTAGAGAATGCATGCCAGGAAGCTGGATTCATCATGCAGGCTGTGGAAATTGTTCCTCCTCGGCTAAATGATGATGATCTCAAGACCCTACAAAAATCGGACTTGACAGCCTCCACTGTTCAAAACGACATGAAAGAATGATCTACTTGTCATTTTTTTTTCTTTTTTTTTTTTGGAAAATGATCTACTTGTCAAATTGTGCTGGAGCCCGGCCCCCCTGCTTTACCCCTTGTACTACTTCCATTTTTTTCAAAGATTCGTGGAGGGTTAGCTTTAGATTCAAGAATGTGACGATGGTTGAAATAATCAAAGAGAATAATACTAAGTGATACTTATTAATTGAAAGATTAGGATTTCAATTTAGTTTTATCATGGAAAGATGTTTTTTTCATGTGTATAAAATTTTGTATCCTGTCACTTTCGGGATATAAAGAACGATTTTCTTGCCCATGCATGATCTCCTCTTTGATTGATTCTAGCTTACTTCTGAGTTCTTTGTGCTTGCATTAGTCTGCTTTCAATATATAACCTTGCTTACTATTCCACTTCTGAACTGTCCCAATTCTAGGCATTTTACAAGAGATGTGCATCAAATCTTAAAGGAGTGTTAGGATATTAGAGAGCTGATATTCAACTCTATTGGTATAAACCGCTAATCATTAATCTCAAACCATTTTACCAAACAGAACTTAATGGTACACATCCTTTTTTTCTTTTTTTTTATATAAACAAATTAACAGAATATTAGATTTAAACCGTTACCTTATAGCTGAAGGAATGCATTTATAAGTAATCTGATGCCACCGGACCGAAAGTCCAAGTGCAACGGTACACACCTTTTGCAACAAAAAGAAACGTCAAAATCAATCAAATGCTCACTACTTCAAGATCTTTTTGTCAACGTTATTGTCAGTTCTCATTATGCTTCAAGAACTTATAGAGAATACTGTTACCAGGACCAAGCAAAGTACTGTATATCATAATTATCATTGAATAATTATGATTAGAAAAAGAAATCAAACCACCACAAGATTAATAGGTATTTGAAACACTTGGGCAACAACTGACTTAAGAAAATCAAACAATGCATGGCGATGTACTCTGCACATAATTTCCACATCAATGTACACACTACACAAATATTTTTCCCCCAGCAGTTGCTTGCAGAAGTGAGAACACATTTTTTCATCCTTATTTCTACTTCCCTTCACGATATGGTCAGTTGAATTTGAATCAGTTCAATAATACAACCTCTACTAGATTACACAATCCCTAAACATAATCAAACTAAGAAGCTGTGAATTGTGATTGAAATTCCAGATTTTACACGACATATTACAAAGAGATTTCTTATAGCATTGCTAACTATCACTATTTCTAGTACAGAAGTCATACCAGTGTAAGAACTTGCTGTTGACCCCAATTCATTCATTCTTTTGAGTGCCAAGAACGTACAACAAACCTGGAAGAAAACTACTTGTCAATCATCACAGAGTGATGCCATTAGGTCATGCGGTGATGCCCAAATTGGAAGATCCAAATATGATTGCTTCAATTGCTCCTCTTGTTCATCACACATTGCTTCTGCTACAGCACATAAATTTGATACATCCTGAATTATTGCTTCTTGAGCTTCTGCCTGTCGTTTAGATGTAAAACTAGTTAAAAGAAACTCAACAGTATGACTAGGAGCTAGTCATTCCTTACTGCAATCATATCAAAAAACCAATGACAAAGGACAACAGATAATTTTTATTATACATTTCTCATCTCTTCTTTCAGCTGATATCCCCAACAATCTGTTGTTGTTGTTGTTGGGGTTTTTTTTTTTTTTTTTTTTTTTTCATTATTCTAAGAACATAAACAACAAAACGTAAAATTTACCAGCAAATCTTCAAAAGTAGAACTATAAAAGAAAATAGTCAGCAGTAAATCCTAAGATGTCACATTGCTTGAAATACTGAAACTATTATTGCACTCGATGAAATCAACTCCATTTGAAAAAATAAACAAACAAGATGTATTTCGTACACCTATTCTTGCTATACCAATCAATCTAATGGAATGTTGATTTCAAAAGTAAGCTCAATTAGGTTTTTTTTTTTTTTTTGAAGGAATTCCCCCCAAAAGATTGTTATAAAAGGTAACAACTTGAATTGAATTAATGAAGAATTAACCCCTTGAAAACAGAAGGGACAACCGGCTCTGCAAAGAAGTATACGAAAAACCCTAAAATTACATTCAATGTTAAGAAAATAAAGAACATGAATTAAAAATTGAACTCTAGGATAAACAGTTCGGAAATTTTAGTGCTCAGCAACACAAACTGAAAATGTTCGACCCAGAAGTTTGCTATACCCATATCTAATTTTCCCCATTTCACTAGAAGAAGAATCACATATTTACCTGTGCAAAAAGCTCATCAACGAGAGACCGAGAAGCGCCATTATCTCTATCTTCCAAAGGCAAACTCGAAACTGACACCGCACCGTCCTCCTCTCTCCACTCTTGCTGTTCTCGTCTTTCTTGCTGCTCAATTTGAGACTTCTGAGCCTTCTCTTGCATTGCCTTCAACGCGTTCGACAAAATTTCCCACTGACCGATCTCTCTCTTATACCGTTCCACCACCTTCAGTAACGTCCTTCTCTTCCATTCTCTTCGTCGGTTCTCTTCCTCCTCCGGATTCGCCTCCTCTTTATCGGCGGCAGGCAGAGGTGGATCGTTCAGCCGCCGCTTCTTCCGTCTGTAGACAAAGCCGTCGTCGTCGCAAAACTCCCACTCCTCGTCCTCAAGAACGGAGCTTGGTGGCTCCATTAGAAACCCTTTTAGCGGGAAATTTTCAGGGAATCAAAATGTTTCGGAATTCAAAATGGATCTGTAAAGATGGAGCCTTGAAGAAGATAGACGGCATTGAGGGACTGGGACTGGGGACTGGACCGACTGGCTGAATCAGCGGTGTTGTACTCTTCTCACATATGAGTTTGAATGTGGGGACAGCGCCGGGATTTTAGTACAAGTTCCAATAGCGGTGGAAAATTAATGATGTGTTGTCATTGACGTGGCAAATCATAAGTGGATTATATAACGGTACTAACCTTGTCATAGATAAAGATGAATGTATACGATTACGTGCTGCAATTATGCTCTGAGAAAAAAGAAGGAAAAAAAAAAAAGGGAGAAACACGCGCGCACAAGATTTTTTAAGAAAGGCCGAATGTTATGTGATAGCTTTCGACCTCTTAACTATTGTTTAATAGGTCCCTAACCTTTCAATTATTGTGATAAAGTCTCAAACTTTAAAATGGTCTTATTAGGTCCCTACTAATTCATTTTCGTTCATTCAAACATGGTATTTGTTGTATGAGAAAAGGGGAAATTCTAGATGTTCAATCACACTGATTCCACCATATTAGTGGTTTTAGGCTTCTGCATAAAAATTAAAAAAATACTCTTTTTGTTCCATTTTATTAGTCGTTTTAGTCTACTGTTTTAGAATTAAGAAGATGATTATTTATTCTTCATTTCAATGTTAAAAAACATAAAAATACCATCTTGCCTTTTTATTACTTATCTGGTATTACTCATTGTTTCTCTTTATTACTTTTGTCGATATGTCTTCCATTTGTTCTTTTGTTGGTGAAAAAAATTCATCTGCAAGTCATTTTCATTCCAATCCAATTACGCTTCTAATCAGCTAAGATTTTCATTCTAATTTTATTTTTACAATTTTGTTCCCACCAAAAATTGGCTACGAAATCCAACTTGAAGCTATTGACAAAAAGATGGGGTTTCACAGTTGTACATATACAAGCTATTTTGACAGTGATATGAAGGAGTGGAAGGTGGGGCAAGAATTGGGGGATTTTATAGAAAAACATGTCCAAAAGTAAAGGTTGACTCTTCTGGATCAAGGGATGCAAAGACGAGAAATTTTGTGGCTCTGTTAGTCTTCTTTCTAGTGGTAATCCTCAATCATGATCTTTTTTTTTTTTTAGTATTAATCTCTCGATATCCAGTAACTATATTAAGTCCCGAATAATTAGAGTCGAGCCGCGTCGGATCTCATTTAAGGGGAAGTTTTCTCAGCACCTATTTTTTCATTTACAAGACTTGAACTCAAAATCTTGTTTAAAAAGAACCGAATTCTTTTCATTCAGACCAATAAATTGTTGGTATCATGATCTTCTTTTTGGTGGTGGCATTTCTATTTGAAGTTCAAGGGTTTTGATTGAACTAACTTTGTTATTGTGGTGTTTCTATATTCAATTTTTCT